ATTCAGTTGCATGGACTGTTGATGCTGTTCCCTGCTGGACTGGGTAGCAAGGGCTTGTTTCTGTTGCATTGACATCTGGAACATGGATTGGAAGTCAGTGTTGCTACTTGTAATGCTGCTTCTTGATGAGGATCTTGAGTAGGATCTCTTTGCTGGAGGGTGAGGCTGCAGAGTGCTTTGAGGAACAGCTTGAACAGAATTGATTGTGGATTGAGCTGCTTGAGTTGATCAAGTTGCTTGGGTTGTTTGGGTTGATGCTTGAGTTGGAGCAGTTAATCTGACTTGGGGTTTCCTGTTTCCTGTTGTTGAGGAGTGAGCAGAGGAGATGGAATTTCTTGTTGTTTGAACTGAGTGAGCTGAGCCAGTGTCATTTCTTTAGTAAGTTTAGAAGGCTGTTGAAGTGRAGGAGGACTAGCACTATCATTGTTGTTCTCAAAAGTGGTGTTATTCTCACTAACAATGTATCCTTCCACCAAATCAAATTCCTCCTCTCCATCTCCACATGCGGCCTTGACACAAATCAAGTGCTTGATCTACTTTGCAAGCTTGATGGGGGGAGTTCTGTTTGGTGGATTCCCAGTAGGAATTCCTTTCCTGTAGAGGGATGCCCACTTCCTAGTGATGGATTGGTCTCTTTGTCCAGTATTCCAGTTTTGTTCATGGTAATGAACAACTTGTTCCCATTGATGTGATCCAATAGGAAGGATGATGTCCCTCAAGGTCATGAACATGCACATGGTCTCCCCAAGGGTGCAGTCAGTGGAACCCTGAGACCTTCCTTGTCCTCTATCTTGAGCAGTCAGCCTTGTGGCTGCTGCTGCTGCTGGAGCTGGAGCCATTCTTTTTCTATGAGCCATGGGATGAGGCACGCCAGTGGCCTCCCCCTCCTCCCTCCTATCATGTTCAGCACACTTCTTCTTGTCCTTGTCTTCTTTGGTGATGGAGGGCCCAGAGGCAGATGCAGCTCAATAGCAACATGCCTCCAGGCTTGCTTCCAGGTGAAAAAACTACTCTCAAGCGTGTTCCCTGGTCAGATCTAGAATTGGATTTGCCCGCAACAAGAGCCAGCACAATCACACCCCAGATGCTTGAGGGGCACTTGGCGGGACACCAGATTGAAGTTCAATCAGCCCCTTGTTGCTTGGATCTCCCACACTGGTGTCAGGGTGTACTCTTGTTATCAAGTCAGATCCTGTCTAGTTTTTTGTTACAATTTTGATGGAGCTTGAAAACATCCGATGAAACAACAAGGAGCTCTGACAACAAATTTGATGCTTGTACRTGAATCCAGTGTTGACAGAAAGTCTAAAAATTTGGACTAGATGGTCTATTTTTGGTCTCTCTGTATGTCAAAAAGTAGACCATCTAGATTAACGAGAATCGCCCAATTGCATACGGTAGTACTCCTAGAGCACTTCAAGAGACAAATGTTTACAACAGGGTGATATTTTTTAGTGTCCCATACATCAGGCCCTAACTCGCTTAAGGGATACCGGTAGGGAAGCTATGATAAAAGGAATATCGACACGAACGGATTTTTTATTTAAGGCATTCTTATGGTGCTACCGTTCGCTTAAAAAGTTTTTTCTATTCCTTCGATTGATATTTTTGTATTGACGTTTTTGGTTCTTGTTCAACGGGTTCCGCAACGTAGCTGTTGAAATTTGATGGCCGAAGTTGGGAAGTTGTGTTAGTACTACTTTCTATTGCTCGGAGGCGAAAAAAAGGTCATCATGGACATATTATTTATTGAACGACTTTAGTCTTGAACAAAATTGGCGCGATGATCTTCATCATTAACCTTCCAAGAGTCAGAAAATAACCTTTTCGGAATTCTTGGGTGCTCCGAAAACTGCGTCCGGCAAGGGATGTGCATAAAAACTAATTATTCTGACCAGTCAACTTCAATATTTCATGCTGCAAAAAATAGTCATTAGTGTTTATGACTGTCACATTGAAGTGATACTATCATAACGACGAACGCCAATTTTAAGTTGTAGGGATGCGAACCCACGACTGTTTCAATACCGTTTCGACGAAGATGTTGTTCCGAACCAACTAGAGCCATACCGGTACGTAAACACACGTATTTATCAGAGACGACCAAAGTCCGTGTACTTCAAAAATAGAATATCGAAGAAACAAATTTTTCAAGGACTACGACCACCAATATCACGTACAGCAACAAGTAAGAAGAACTAAGTTTTCGCTAGTCCAMCAGTGTCGTGATGCATGCAAACCAGCAAGCTGCAGACTAAGTGACTTCACTTTGTCACCATATGAACCGCTTTCAGTGTGTTTTAAAATCCAAATTCATTATTGATAAAATCAAGCAATTATTACTTCCTACTTGATTTAACATCCTTCACCTATCCATTCAAAACCAACGCCGACGGCATCCTCCAATAATCTTTCTTGTGTTTCGAGCTTGGCATGAGCTCTCTGTTATACCCACAAACTATAGGTTCGCAGTCATCATTGTTCGCGATGAACGAATCAGTGACTAGTTTGAGATCAGCATCCGGACTGAGCCTCCCAACAAAACCATCCTCTCTTCGAGGGCCCAATTTTATGACTAAGCGTAATCGCGACAAGAAAGACAATGATTGCGTGAAGAGCTCATTGGCAAGATTTTTAGAGGAAACAGAGGACGAAGATTTGTTGTTCATGGAGAGCAAAGAAAACGACAGCAAACGCAAAAATGACGAGGAAGAATACGACGACGCTATGACAGTTCAGAGCGATGTTCTGTTTAATCGCGACGCATTGAATGTTGCGCGAAGCAGAACGGTAATGAGAAAGTCCAAACCAAGTTCCGCTAATCGCGGGTCAAATCAGGGTGCCGTGAAAGATCGGAGACGACGGAAAAAGACAGATCCAGAAGAACGGCGGCTGAGAGCACCACGAGGCTCGCGCGGAAAAAGGGTGAAAGAAAGAGACTCAAGTGGCAAGAGTAAGAACAGTGTTGACACCACAGGCAACGAGACCAGTACATCTTCGCTTGCAACTTTAGATCTTGAMGCGAGCAATTCGTCGTTAGAGCYAGATTCTAGAAGGAAAARCTTTCGAACTAGAAAGCCATCAAGTGSGCGATCGCTTTCTTCAAGTACGCGAGAACGAAAAGGGAAGCCACGCAGAACGGAAGACCTCGGAGAMAGCTTCAACTCGTTGGGTTCCGATTGCATGAAGAAAACCTTTCGAAGTAGACGACAAACAAGTTCAAAGTCGCTTACTTYAACTACTKCAGAACGAAACAGAAAGTCACGAAGAAGCCGAGTAKCAGCGGAYAAAGAGAAAACGAAAGGAAATCAACCAAAATCTTTATCGGCGGGCCTGAGAGACTTGGACAAAAAAACTCGTAGAGGAAGACGAAAGAGTTCCGATGGAGCGTCGGTCGCATCTAACTATACTACTGGTACATACAAAACCTCTATGACGGCGAATACGACGCAAACAA